GATCCTCTACACTTGCAGGCATGACTTCACTAGACATCACTTTTTTCACTGCAGTATCAGCAAGTTGATGATCACAAACAACACAAACCTTCTCCTTGTGAATCTCCTTTTGCTTTACCACTAACAAGGTTCTGCCTCAGTGAGATGAAAGTGTTTACATCAGGTAATGCCTTAACAACCTCTTCTCTGAACTGTTGCACTAATGAAGCATCTGTTGTGTTGGCCAGGTCCTCTGCAGTATCATCACTGGAGGCCAAACACTGCACAGCATCCTGTGCTCTGTCCAAGATTACTATTACCAGTGACAATGTTGTGTGCTTCACTAGATAACTTGCATGCTATTGACAAACAGACATAAAAAACATTGAAATTAGGGCACAATACAAAAAGAGTATATATTTTATCAACAAACAGTAAATAAATGTTGAGGAGGCCAGGAAGGCTAGCTTACCTGTATATATACACTGTTCAGTGGTGGAATACATAATTATCAAAACCCCTTTAATGTCAGTAATTCAAAGTTGGATATCCCTGGCTCCTTATTTTATCCTGCATTTTCTATTTCTGCTTTCTACACCTGTATGTTGCACTAACACCTTTTTCTTTTTCGATTGACATGGTTAAAGGAAATGGATTAGCCAAGAGCCTTTTTATGACATTCTGAAATATTAAAGCCAGCAGGTAGGTGTGAAACTTGGCAAATCGAAAATGCAAAATAATGAACCTACCTGAACACCACGACTCAAACTTGTACGGCTTATTCCAACAGGAGCTACCATGTTTATCAAGGATGGCAATGTTTCTTTTGTCATCTTCACACCAGACTTCTCCACCATTAGTGAAGGTTGTGGCAGTGCTATGTAAACCTAACATGGAAGGAAACAGCGACATTCTAAAAAAAATCTGTCATCATTGCTAAGGCAATTAAAGCTTGTGGCATTATTATATATCAGATTAAATCCAATAGGAAATCCAGATGGCTCATAACCTTGATCTTGAATAGAAAACTTGTAACTGCTTGTAATAAGTAAAGTCCGCACTCGAGTCTACTGGCCCACCCAGCCGGACCTTGTCCCGGTTTCCTTAACATGAAGAGGCTAGGAGTATAACTACTCCCTCCCTGGATGGGAACCCCACCCATTACAAGGTTACCCCCTGCATTTCATCAGGTTTTCCTGACAATTTGCCGCTACCTATGCATACTCCTCGGTAAAGAGGCACTGTAAGAGTAAAGTGTTCGGCCAAAGAACACAACTCATGGACCCAGCAAGGTCTCCAACCAGGACCTCTCAACCTGTAGTCCAGTGCACTGACCACTGGGCCACTGTGTCTCTACCTCTGCTTGTCTGACAACACAATCAAAAATGGCTGAGGAAGACTGGAGAGTGGCTGAGGAAGTAGTCATAGGTGACTATCAGGGCACTGGCTGCCAATCAAATTGGATGAAAAGAGAACGTAGAAGCTTTTTTATGCCTGGCCTACAAGTCCAGATACACTTGCAGATGCAGATATACATGATAATTGTATTGACCATCAGTAGGCAGGAGTTTCATTAAGGGCCGGGCACCGGCCAAATTGACCGGTTGTAAGGATGGTTTTGCCCACCTGGTTTAACAATCTGGAGGAAGGTTTCTCTTATAAAGAAGTTTAGTTCAAAAAGTTTTGCCCACCTGTGAAAACCAGTTGCCCTCCTGCTGAAAAAATTAATGAAACCCCTGAGTAGGACTCTTCCCACAACATATTTTAGTAAGGATTGTTTCTCACCTTTGTCAACAGGTTCATGTTTGCAATCCACTGCATAGAAAGCCTTGGTTCATATGTTGCTGTCAAACTGGACAAAAAGGGCCTCACAACATCATGGCAACAACACAACACAGTTATCACAAGTTCTTGGACAAGTACATCTGTTGTTTCTGAGGATAAGGTTTGAAGGAACCTTAACAACACTGGATTATTACTCCTGCAAAAAGAATTGTCATCTTTAGACATTATTGACAGCAATTGATTATCACAGGGTGAACATCAAAACTGGTTATCAACAGACATGAAAAACCAAAAAGTCACGGAATACCCATACTTATAAAAATGTTAAGAGAAAGAAAGGTTGACCAAAGCTAAGGTACATGTACATGTATTAACCCCTCAACCCCAAGGAGTGACTCGCATCTAATTTCTCCTTACAATATCACCCCTGAATCACACGTTTAGGTCATGAGAATCAAGGAAATGATCATCAACTAAAGCAGCTCAGCACCCTAGGAAGTGTAGCAAGAACAGTATAGAGAATATGGAAGCTGATGTTACTGTGTAAAGGATCAACTGACAAAGAGTAGAACTATAAATGCCAGTAATTGTAAAAAAAAAAAAAAAAAATTACTGTCAGTAACAGTAGATGTTATTTTAACAAACCAGTACTGGTTACATGTATGCTGCAAGTTTTAGGCTGATTTCTATTTCTTCAGATCTGACATGTACATGCACAGCTCTAGATCAAAGGGTGGTAAATTATCAATGCATAGAACCATATAAGCATATAACCATATCATTAAGCCTGATTCACATCTTTTTAGAGCATGAGCCACTGACAAGGGTCCTCAAATCAGAAAATTTGAAAATTTGTGTACTCTACCTGGTGGAAAATGCCCCAGTCACATTGGAAAAACAAATTCCAAACTTGAAAGACCCACATACTTTCAACAAAAGGTCATGTACTTTTTGCCGCACTGTTGGATCTGAGGTCTGTTCCTCACTGCTATTTTCTTCTGTATCCTTTGTGTACTGATAAAGATTTGCCAATTGTGAAAGGACATGGGAATTGAAGAACTGCACTTTGGTTTTCTTTGTAATCCCAGAATTGTGGACCACCTTAAAAGATAGAGAAAATTAATTGTTTAAAAACCAGAACTATTTACAACTTGTTAAATGCGGATGTAAGCTGTGTATGATAGTTACTCAGTCATTTGGCTTCCTCAACTTATCCCGGTTCGTGTAACAGAAAGTGACTATAGATACTTAAGAATCACATCATTTGTGCTGCAGTACTCCTCATAAATGCGATATTATAATGACAAGTAACAGCCCAACAAGTTGTTTGGCTTCCTTGACAGTCCGTAGGTACCCATTTACATTTGTAAACTCAAGAGTGGGGAGAGGAGAGGTTGGGGCTATCACTAAGTTTTGAAGAAGCCGTTACTTTGTAATATTTGGTCGAGTGTGAAGTGACAGCAATCAATATTTCACCTGTAACATCAAGTGATCTCAGCTGTAATAGGTGTGCATGAAGGTGTTACAGGTTAGGACCTTATTGACAGCCCCAGAAGACAAGTGTTTAGTGACAGTGTCTTGCTCAAAAAGAGAGCACAATGATCTGCCAAAACTCAAACATGAATGTCTTAGTCTCACTACCAAAAGAAAACTGGATGCTTTAATTTCCATTTTCAACTTGAGGTTACTACTGGTAATTTTACAAAAAAATAGCTAGCTATCATGTTTATTAAATTTTGATGATGATACAGGCTGCCATGATGGCCACTTACTCTTCCTTGCAGGGTGGACAACACAATATGAACTATCTCCGGTTTATCAAGAGACAGACCTTTCAATACTGACTGAAGAAATCCTGATTTTGAAGATAAAAAAAGAAAAAGAATAAATTGATCACAGAGTGGATTTCACTAAAGGATGTAATATTAATGTGTCTAGGTTTTAAAGTGTATGACCGGTATAATGTATAAATTTACTGTATTCAACTGCAAAAACAATTTTTAACTTTAATCAAATCTATAGATTTTAAAATTATTCTGAAATCTCCCTTTAAGCTGTATATTTTTCCTCGTAAATTAGGAGAGAATCGGTGTCATTCAATCAGAGCACTGAATGATACAATTCTCTATTCTCCCCACATGCTGGATACTTTCATTGGTAACATGGTTGGGAGAAGTTGCATTTTAATCATTTCTAAAAGTTATCTTAAGGATTACTGGTAATACCTCACTTCAAAAACATTCTCTTTTTCAAAATATATGTACCATCTTCCCTTTTGGAATGAATATACACCTATTCAACACCACCCTGAAAATAACTGGTATACAGTTACAAATAAATACCTTTTACTTCTAGGATTTGTTTCATGACAGCCAAGTCACCAAACATCAGAAATGAGAGACAAAAGTATATAAAACAAGTCCTCACATCTTGCACTGACTGAAAAGAAAATTATTGTACAAAATATTCAAACTGTATATATAAATTTTATTACTAGACTAAGGTAACACACCACTTTTTTTTATCATGTTTCATTTATCCATTCTATTGTATTCATTTGTAATTTATCTTCTGTTTAAATACCTGAAAACTAGCTTGCATAAACCAGTATGTATGTACATATGTATGAATGCAGTATGTATATATGTATGCATGCTTTATATGTTTTCTTAAAAATAAAATGTATCTAAACTCAAGAGGTAAAATATCATTCATTTGTAATTGGGAACTAATTCATCTGTGGAATAGCTAATGCATCTAATTGCGATTTCATCATTTAAAGAAAAGACAACCTTTTGGCCCCCGAAAAGTGCTAGTTTCTGCCTCAAAATGTGCAGAATTGCATCTAAGTTGGTAACAAAAGAATTTCCAAAACTTTTCCAGGGGAACACACCTTTGGAGCACCTTTTGGGGGTAGTTCGTCTTCAAACCTTGCACTAAGAGTTTTACTGCAACAATTCCAGATATCCTCCCCTGGCCTTGGCCAGTAAATAAAACCCACAATCATATAGATTAATTTCAACCGTACAATGACTTACATTACTGTCACGTTTGTTGGGTAGTGCCCCAAGAGACTTCAAAGTAAAGTCAAACGAGCTTTGAACTTCTCTTGCAGCAGATGAACCTTGTGTGACCATAGCAGTGATTAGTTTTAATGCAGCCTTTATAACTTCAGGAGGATTCCCTGGGTTAAGGCATGAATACAACAACTTCATGTGACCCTGTAGAACACGTTGTACTATTGACACTCCCAGTCTATTAGCAAGTTGGCTTTCCTCTGCAGTATAGAGCAAAATACTCTCCAAAATCTCCATACAGGTTTGGATCTACAAGGAAAATGGTCCCAAAAGAATGATATCAAACATTCAGCATTTACTATTAAAGTCTCAAAAATGTTTTAAAATTACCTTGTATTAGACATCATGTGATTTTCAAGTACTACCATTAAGTCCTCCTTAGAAGATAACCCAGACAGTCAATTGGCAAGAAGCATTCTCAGACAATACAAATTTACATTTTTGGGGCATGCAGATGATAAAACTAAAAAACTCTACCAATATTAGCAGACACTTTCTCTGATAATTCTCTGTCCTCAGCCTCTCATGGCTTTCCAGAAATAACACTCCTAGCTTCACTGTCAATCAGATTTTGAGAGGCTGGCACCTCTGTAAGCTTCATGTTGTACAACTTACAGTGCAGCTCAAAGATAGAGGGACCAAACTATATGCATTAAATTTGTATCAAAGGAGTCTAAGACCGGACACAGACTAGTCTTTACAGACAAACAGATGCATCTAACTGCAGACTTGTCTGCCTAATTAATATGAGCTTTTCTCTATTATCTAGTTGATATAATATTATCAGACTTCTAGAGAACATTGATCAAGTATTACAATTGTTACACATTGAACTTATCATGAAAACTCTGATTGGTCCAAAGCATACTGTCAAAATACGATAACATTTAAAGTTGACACAATGATCCTGATATCTGCGGCAGACATTGGGTTATTGTGTCAAGTTAAAAGTCTGTCTAGTTTCCAAGCCCCTTGTCCTTGTAGTGTTATCAAACAGTTGCAAACTCAGAGAGAAGTGTCTTCTTTTACAGATTGTCTAAAAAAATGTATAAAACAATTAATGAATTTGGTTTGTGCAAGATATCATGAATTATTAAAAACTGGATCATTGGATAATGCAATTCAAGACTTTTTATTGGCTTAGCCATTATGGTATATGAGCCAATATACCATAATCCAATATCTGTACATTGTAACATCCGGTTTCTTCTTACAAAATAAAGTCGAGAAGATTGGTCTAATATCTTGGGAGCGTTTTTTATTAATAAAACAATTATTCCACTCGCACATGTTGGATATGAGATCATTATAGCCAACTTGGCACTATGTGCCATCTATCATCTCATGTCCAACGCACACTCATGGAATAATTGTAAGTTATTAATAAAACCTCATGACTGCATTATCTGCCAAAACTGAAGGCTGAGGCAGATGACTTAGATCACTGCATTGATAATTGATGATATCATGCTCAACCTCGTCCAATAATTGCTTATTAGCTGGACTAATTGTTAGACATTGCTTATTATATTAGCATAATTTTAGTACACAAACAAATAGGCTAGTACCTCAAGCTTGGAAAGAGCATGTTGGCCTCTCTCTAAAATGGTGAAAATTTCTTGAAACTCTCCTCCTTCCTTAATGATATCTCCAACAGATTCTTTGGCTTCTGATTCTTTAAGGGCATTCTGAAGTTTTTTTAGACCTTGCAAATCAACAGATAATATCACTGGTTGAAAGAATTATTGTGCTTGTGTAAAGGGTGACATTTATGGTATGTCATATACAGTACAAGTATTTCCCAAGAGCCACCCTCCCTAACAATTTTGTTCTAAATTTAAGATTGCAGTTCCTTGCAGAATCAGAATGACTACTTGATTCACGGCAGGGGAAATGACATTGGATTTTTTTTTTATAAAGGAAATGGTAGAGAAAATTATAAAGCTATTACGCGTCTAGGAAAATGTGTATCACATTGATAACAAAATTCGCCTCAGCCAAGCTCCACAGAAGTGGAGATGTTGAGTTTTGAGTGATTTCAGGTTAAATATTAATCCAATGCAGGAAATAATAATCTGTGTTTTTCTTTGATTAAGGAAAGTAGATATGCGATTCAAATTAGTCTAAAACCAATAATAATACACTAGCTGGCCGGCACTTATCTACAAGTACTTTTCAACGTGAATCGATTCAGTTATGGCCTCATTGTTAACGTTGGCTCTGAAGTAACGACAAAACCACGAAGAAGGCCCATAAATACTTGATACGTCAGCATTCTACTCACCGGAAAGCCTTGTGTGTTCTTTCTGCAACAAACCCTTCAATGATCGAGCGAATTCGCCCGACTTGTGATTGCTTTGCTTCTCATCTTGCGCCTTTTTCTTTCTTTCAGGAGTTCCTTCGTCGACGACGTGTTCACTTTTTCGTTTTTTCATTTTGTTCTTGTTGAAATTTTTTTCTATAAGCGTTCTCAACGTTATGCGAGCGAAGACCACGAGAGGCCACGAGAGAAACTCAAATGCATCGGAACGGCCTCCATGTTGCTTGTTTCCACGTGGCCTTTTGAGTACTTCATTTAAGAAGTACTACAACGTCCGCACACCTTTGCGTGACAGAGACATCGTGACGCATAAAAGATCAATTTTTTGTTTTCTTTTTTATAATTTTTTTTTTTAAAATTTTCTCATGAATGAATAAAACTGCGTGAATTTCCTTAACACAAATGAAAACCTTGAATTATCAATGCAGATTTTAACAAAATTTTCAAGTAGCCAAGATCACCTGAATATTTCTGGAGTGTTCATTGAATATTAATTATCAAGCATTTATCAGTCTGAAAATTGATTGTGCTTTAAAAAGGCACAAAACAAATTTTGGATGATCTTGGGGTGTGAAGAAAAATACCTTACAATCCTATACACTGCAAAACTTTATTAATGGTCACTGCAAAATACAATTCAGTTTTTGTCTTTGCTATTGAGACTATTGAGAACTTAAATTTAAACTTGCTATATTGATGTGTATCAGTTATCTTGACCGTAAGTCTAATGAGGATATATACCTCGCATTATGCTTTTGTATGAATTATAGAATGTTTCCTTTGTTTAATAATAAAATAAGTAAAGGAATCGAGTGATATGACTTCTGAAAAAAATTATACTTCTTGGTACAAGACAGTTAATTGCAACAAAACATATCCAAATATTGCTTAAAGTGTATATGACAATTTTTTTTAGACGACTTAGAGCACGTGATAATTCTAGAAAAACGACTGTAAAGTTTTTAGATCTTGAGAATATTTTGAAACCCCTTTTTTCATTCAAAATGTGCACTACTTTCAAGTTGAAATTGTCCCAGAGATCGTGCAGCCAAAATGTCACGATATACGTGTGACATCACTGTGTTTGATAAACAAACCAATATGGCTGAAAGGGAAGGGAAACCATCAAAGCATGGGGGTCGAATCGCTAGACATCACCAAGTTAAACAGTGTGGGTCGAAACTTAGCGTTAATCACTTGCACATTCGAAGCCCAGAGCAAGAGAAATTAGGAGGCGCGTCTGCACGCGCGACAGCAATGTTATCAAACACTGTGACATGACAAGCACAATTATCGTCCCCAGTTTCCCGGGACACTTTTATATGGAAATTGGCAGTATTTTGGCTGCAAAAAATCATCCAAATTATTTTTCTTCGCATTATCCAAACATTTATCATTTATTACATATATCAAGAAAGGATAATACTTTTAAAAAAAATTGTGTCATATAAACTTAAAATGCAAGGTGAACTGTGAGTTGTGTATTAGGAAAATGATCTTTGATTAAATGATCTTTGATTATCCACCAAGAACCAGAGTGTCTGTTTGTGTGTATATGTTGTAGTTCAATTTTATCCTTGGTTCAAATTTTATTTTCCTTTGTTCTAGGTCATGTTAATGTATGATGATGAGTTTGAAACAAAGGAAAATAACATTTGAACCGAGGATAAAATTGAACTACAACATATACATTATGTCTGTGTGTCAGGGGGAGAAGGAGTAAAGGAGGGGAGGGGGCAGG